CCAGGCAGGCCGTGAAAGTTAAGAGCCTGTAGAGGGAATGGAGCCCAGCACAGCAGATGTACAGATAGGGCAAGAGGTGGTAAACCAAGGAGGATGCGGTCGTAGACAAAACTAGGAAACTTCTGGGGGATAAAGAGTTACACAGATAAGATACCACTCTACCCCGGGCCCGCCCCGGCCATTGTGCACTCAGGCTACACATAATGGCACAGGTAGACCTGCCCAACAAGATGTGGTCAATACCTAGGAGCACGTGGCCAGACAGTTCAAAGTTGCGATCAATTTGCAACCGGTTACATTTAACAAAATGGGCCTGTTGATGATACATTTTGCTTGCAGGTGTTAAGAAATTTAAGGTGGCCGACTCACTTAAATTAAACATGTGTAACTGATATAAAAGCAACTTCAGACAGATTAGGATGAACCTCACTCAGCCCACAATTTCTTCTCATGCAAGAAGCTTGAAACTGGGTGAAGTCTGTCCCTCCCTGGTTGCAGAGACGGGCTGGGTTCTTCCAACCTGCAGGAGGTTTCTCCTCCTCTTTCCTGATGAAGTAGCCATTGATCTCCCTGCATTAGGGTTGCTGGGGCTCACAGGTGCCCTTGGAATTTCCTCAGTCTTTCCTTGTTTCCCAGCATGAGGGGCTCCGTTGCTACCACTTTTTTTCTCTTCTTATGTTTCTATATGCTTCTTCATCGATGAGATTTTTTTATTTATTTATTTATTCTGAGAGAGGTGGGGGCAGAGAGAGAGGGAGAGGGAGAATCCCAAGCAGGCTCCACGCTGTCGGCACAGAGCCCGACACGGGACTCAAACCCACGAACTGTGAGATCGTGACCTGAGCCGAAACCAAGAGTCAGATGCTCAACCAGCTGAGCCACCCAGGCGCCCTGCTTTTGATGAAACACTTAATGAGGGTCTGTGAGATGCAGACATAGAGTAAGGCTGTGCACATTTAAAGGCAAAGAAAATGGATTTCTGCCTCCGGGGTGGTCACAGTCACTCAGCTAAGGCAGTTACGCCAGTAAACAGGCTTTCAGACCGTGTGATCACAACAGTGTGTGTTTGGGTGGGAGTGGTTGCTACAGCTGATGACCCCATCTAAGGCTTGGGTGGATAGGACCTGAGGTCTGTGACGTCACAGCCAGCTTGCCAACCTCTTGGATATTGAACAATCAGCGCTGAGCTGTCATTGGTCAGCCCCGGCCCACCGCTGCCCCCCAGGACAACAGCCTCTTGCTCAGAGAGAGAAGCCTCCCCCTCAGAATCATGTTTCGGCCTCTTCGTTTTGAAATATCCTTCAGATGCTGTCGCTTCGGTCCCTTGCGGTCCCCAGCTGCCAGGTGATTGTGTGCCGTGGAGGCTGCTGGGAGGCTCTGCGGAGCTGGTGACGACATAGAGAACACGGCTGTGACATTTGGAGCCACACACCGAGAGACCCTCTCCGCAGCATCAACCACGGGGATGGCTATGCCAACTGGAGCAGGGAATGGTGAGGGTGCCAGGAAGAAGCATGGACGCCGGACGGTAAAACACGGAACACGGAGAGCAAACAGAGAAGAAAGTGGACGCTGCCCTTTGTGCATCGGATTCTCTCCCAAACGTGCAGGAAACAGGAGGGGCTGGGAAGCAGCAGGGAAACGTTTTCTGGCACGGGCTGGGGAGTTTGCAGACAAACACGAGGCCAGCTTCCAAGAATTATCAGTTGGATTAATTAATCCCTAAGAACCTAATTACCATGAATCTTATTCCTGGGCACAAGGTATCTGAGCTGAGATTTGTGTGTCTGCAAAGAAACCAATATTAGGGGGGAGGCTTCGGGGATAATTAGGATCCCAAACTGGGGAAATGTCAGTGGGGGTTCCGTTATCGATGCCTGAAAGCCTCACCCGCCCCAGTGCTGAGATCGTGGCTGTAGAAAAGGCTCAGGCCGGGAAGAATGAGCAGGTCCAGGATCACCGTGGGATTTGGCTGGGAAGTGTGTAAAATATAACTTGCTGCAAAGCAGAGCACGGAAGTGTCATTTTATATGCTTCCACGTGGAAACAGAGGAGCACCAGGGCCCTCACAGCCCACCGCCAAGGACACGCTGGAGAAACAGGTTGGGAAACCACTCATGCAGCATGACTTTTTCAGAACAGTGTCATGCGGGAGGAGCATGAGGACCCAATGAGTGACTTATGAAGCAGGAGGTAGCTGGCACTAACCCCTAAGCGAGCAGGACGCAAGCAAAGTGGAAGAGCTCACAGCAAATACCTACCTGGGCTGGTTTCAGGTGGACCTAAATTAGTACCGACCAGGATGAACTGAACTCCATGTGCCCCACACCAGGGACAGAACCTGGGGAGTGGAATAGATAAAGAACATAGATTCCAGGGGGCAGAAGTGGAGAGGGAAGCGCAGGAGAAGGAGTCAAGCTAGAGATGGGCAGGTGTCATGAAAAACAGCAGGGAGAAGCAGGTTCCTGGGCAGAAATAGTGAACGTGTGGCCTGGTTTCTGCAGCCTCCCAGGGAGACGGCATTTCCCAGGCTCCGAGAGAAAGTGAGGCATTAAAGGCTCAGAGATGTTGAAGGAGGTAGAGACAGGATAAACAGGGAGGAAAACACAATACATACGTGTATTCGTCAGGATTTCCCAGAGAAACAGGATGGGTAGATAGATAGATAGATGAATAGATAGTTAGATGATAGATATATAGATAGATAGATAGATAGATAGATAGATAGATAGATAGATAGTAGATAGATTTATTCTAGGAATTGGCTCACTCTGTCATGGAGAGTCCAAAATATATTTGGCAAGCCTGCAGGTCGGAGACTCCGAAAAAAGTTTCAGGTCCATTCCAAAGGCCTTATATTAATAGAATTCCTTCTTGGCTGGGAAAGTCAGTCTTTGTTCTCTTAAATTGTTCAACTGATTTGACAAAGCCCACCATTTCACTGAGAGTAACCTACTCTACTCAAAGTCCAGTGATTCAAATGTTAGTATCACGAAACAAAAACAAAAACAAAAAACTTCGCAGAAACATCCACAATACTTACTGTTGGGCCAAAAATCTGGGCACCAGGGCCCCGCCAGGTCGACACATTAACTGTCACAATATGGTTCCCATTGAGGCCGTTCAGAGTTAAGAATCAGAAGGTAAAGGCAACTTAAGACCTGGGAAATAAAAGAGGAAAAATGAAAGAAAGGAAGTCATTTCAAGGGCATAGGGAGGGATGATTCAGACCCAAGGAAATGTGTAAGAGTGGAACGGGGAGTAACTACTTATTATGGATGCAAGATTGCAGAAAACTAGAGAAAAGACTGTTGAGGTTTTGAAAGAAACATTTTTTAAAAATAATGTTTGTAATGAAGAAGCAGAAAGAAACGGAGTTTATGTATTTGCCATTTGGGGTAAATTTGGTAGAAGTGGGGGGACTTTAATTACAAAATGAGCCCAAAAAGTGGTTACTTTTCAGGTATTATTTATTTATTTATTTATTTATTTATTTTAATTTTTTTAACGTTTATTTATTTTTGAGACAGAGAGAGACAGAGCATGAACGGGGGAGGGGCAGAGAGAGAGGGAGACACAGAACCGGAAGCAGGCTCCAGGCTCCGAGGCATCAGCCCAGAGCCGGTCGCGTGGCTCGAACTCACGGACCGTGAGATCGTGACCTGAGCTGAAGTCGGACGCTTAACTGACTGAGCCACCCAGGCGCCCCATTTTTCAGGTATTTTAAGGAGGCCAATGTCAGCCACCTTCTTTCCCCTTCTAAGTGTGGCACCAAGACATGGTAATGGATGCCAACAGTCCCAGGAGCTGGAGAACGTTCTCTTGGGGAAGTTGCGCCCACTGTTCAACGTGGGGACCTGAGACACTAGGTTGATGGAGTGGCTGGTATCTTTCCAAGGGCTCACGCTAGGGAAAGCCAAATATAGAACGTGCACCACTCCAATGCACTCTTGAGAATCCAGTAACGTTTCTTTGGAGTTGCTGTGTCCTGAGTTGCCCAGAATTATTTTCTTGCTGCACCTGACTTTTGCTCTGATTCACGCTTCAGAGGCCAGCCCTTTAATTTTTTATTAACCTCTATAAAGGTGACATGACCACATACCATGAGAAATATTCATGGGAAATCCAGAATAGATAATTCAATTCACTCTGTGCCTGCTTATTAAGAACACCTCTCATGCCCATCATTCAATTTGATTTAGACAAATAGGTTTTGTGGACTGGTGTCCATGGAAATATGAACATTTATGCCTGCACTAAGTTCCTTTTCTTCATATCTAAAGTTTAGAAAAGATAGCTTGCGCCTGTCTATTAGAGATTTTTTGTAATGTGGTCATTTTACTCTGCTTTGATTTTCATGAAAATGTATGACCCAATTGCTTTTGGATTAAAACCAGTAATTATAGGTTTTATCCACAAAGATAAATTTAGAGGAAGAGAGAGTTTCAAATTCAGAATAATAAGAAATCAGCATAGCTGTAGGCATTGTTTTAAATTAAATTAAGAAAGGATCAATTGTCCTGAGAAAAATTTGACTTTCTTTCATTGCCTCTTTATTTCCATCTGCACACTCTGCATTCAAATGCAGTCTTTATCTTGTCTGCTGTAGTACTTTGTTCTCACAGTTAAGTAAAAACTAAACCGAGAATGCCATTTGATCATCGATTGTGGCTGAAATGGCCATCATGCTACAGGCATGAAAATCATAGGGTGAGCAGTGTGTCTTGTGCCTTACAGATTTTTTCATGTTTTCAGAGTTCATCTGTGCTGGAAGATACATAGGACTTCATTTCTTTTTATTGAAGAAAGATATTCTTTTCTATGAATTTACGACATTTGAATTTTACACTTAGCACTTGATGGGCATTTGGGTTTCTTCCATTTCTTGGCACTTCTAAATAATCCTGCTGTTAACTTACACGTACAAATTTTTGTGTGAACATATATTTTATTTCTCTTGGGTATGTATTTAGAAGTGAAACTTTGGGTCATATGGTAACTCTATTTATGTTTTTGAGGAACTTCCAGAATATATCCCTGAGTAGCTTCAACATTTTACATTTCCACCAGCCTTGTAGGAAAATCCCAGTTTTTCCACATCCTCATCAATACTCGATATTATCTGTGTTGTTTTGTTTTGTGTTGCTGCATCCAAGTGGGAGTGATAGAATACTTAATTGTGATTTTGGTCATATTTCTCGGTTGACCAATAACATCGAACATTTTTTCATGTGCTTATTGGCCATTTGTATAAATTCCTTGAAGAAATAACTATGTAGATCATTTGCCTATGTATACATGAGTCATTTGCCTCTTTTATTGAGTTGTAAGAGCTCTTTATATATTCTGTGTACAAGTCCTTATTAGATAGATATATGTTTTGCAATTAATTCTCCCATTCTTCATATTGTTTGTTCACTTTCTTAATGGTGTCATTTGTAGCACAAAGTTTTTTAATTTTGATGAAGTCTAACTTAGCTATTTTTTTTCTCTTGTTTCTTGTGGGTTTGATGTAATATCTAAGACTGCCTGGTGTAAGGTCACAACTATTTACTGTTATACTTTTGCTAGGGGTTTTATAGTTTTAGATTTTCCATTTAGGTCTTTGATTCATTTTATGTGTGGTGTGAGGTAGGGCTTCAACTTTGGGAACAATTATCTCTTTCCTTCTTATAACTTGTGTTCCCCTCAAATGGTGCATGAGTGTGCTCTTGGCCTTCAAATACATCAGGCTAGAAACAAAATATCAAGCAAAATATTAGAAAAGAGACAAATCATGATAGGATGACACAGGAACCTATTTTCTTACTTTAGGATTGCCAACAGAAGTTGTAAAATAAACATAAATACAACTCAGCACAGCATTCAGGTGCCCAAAGCACATATTCTCAGTAAATCTCTTCTTGTCGCCGCTTAAGGATTTACACATTTGACTTGACCATGTGAGATGACGCAACCAGCCTCACTCCTGCGCTTGATGGTTTTCCCATACGCATCATGCTATTTTTCACCTCTGTCTGCCCGTGGAGTGACGGTACAAATTCCGGTAAGAAAAATATGTGCCAAAAAATGTTAATTTTTCTTTGTCCATAGCGTACTCTGTGGTCCCGTTAAGCCTCATACCCAAAAGACTTAATCTGTGACCAAAAGGCTTAAATCTTCATCTTATCAACAACTTAATTAGTTCATTAATTAGTTCAGACAGAAAGTGCTCATTCTCTGAGGGCTGCCCCGCCCCCCCCCGGCCCTGCCATTTCTCTGTCTTACAGAAGTCCAGGATCTAGGATACAGGATATTCGACGCACATATTATGTAGCACTGGAGGAGGGGCTTCCCTGCCTGGTCTTTCCAGGTGTGAGAGAAACAGAATTGATACCCCTTTCTCTCCCTCTCTTTTCTACAACTCCTTGACCAGAGAACCATAGACTTCTCTTTGACTTCTACTCTCATAAGAGGGAAGAACAGTATGTTTTCAAACTAGAGGGAAGTTCTGTATATTGGATTATCCAAGTTTACTCCTTAATATTTCTAAGGGGAGTTTCACAGAGATTTGGAAAATTCCCTTCTTTTTTTTTTAAGTTTATTTATTTATTTTGAGAGAGACAGAGAGAGTGCAAGTGGAGGAGGGCAGAGAGAGAGAGAGAGAGAGAGAGAATCCCAAGCAGGCTCTGCACTGTCAGAGCTCTCACGAAACTAAGATCATGACCTGAGCCAAAATCAAGAGTCAGACACTCAACCAACTGAGCCACCCAGATGCCCCAGCATAATGAATGTTCAGAAATTGAATTTTGATTCATCAGTTTTTCTTTCTTATATTTTATATCAAATCCTTCCATCAAGCAACATTTTTTTTTCAGAATTGCAATGGAGAAAAGCAGTGTACTTAATTCTTCAAATCTTACCCTGTTGCCCTAATGGCTCCATCGTCATGTGGGAAACATCCCCTGCCTCCCTCCCAGACAGTTTCCCTGGTGCCCGGGCTGAGTTATAGTAACAATCTGGACCGGCTGTTGTGTTTGTACACAATGCCAGGTGCTGGGCTAAGATTATCACATTCATCCTCACAACCTTCCTATAATAGAGGTATTGTTAATTTCACCTTACAGAGGAAGGACCGGCACACAGATACTAAGTGAGGTAGAAATAATAAATGATCTCTGCTCAGAGATTTAAACGTAGATGTATCAGACCCAAGCCAGACCCACAGCACCTGGCTAAATTGTTTCCTCACTGAGTTGTACCCTATTTTTATATGAGTGGTCATTACTACATTGTGAGTGTCTTGGGACCAGGGCATCTGCTGTGTTTACTCTTAACTCCAGTACCTAGCAGAGTGACTATCCCACAATAAATGCCTAATAAATGTATGCTAAGCTAATGAAGCAGCATAAATCGGTGATGATGATGAGAGGAGACTAAGTTTCACAGCCCTGGATGGAAACAGGACAGTCTGAGACCACACAATGATGCAGAAATCTCCTCTGCAGTTCTACAAAAGCTACAAAAACACAGGGGCATGACTGAAAAGGCCCGTTAATGAGGCAGACAATCATGTAGAGGTTAGAAGAGGATGACAATGGAGGGCTGGAAAATAAAGGTTATTCAAGATGGACAAACTTCTGAAGTGTGAACAAGATCAAGTGTAAAAATAATGGGAGGAGAAAGGCACCAAAGTCTAGAGAACAGACTGAAACACCTGGCATATTGTAAGGGCCACAGATTCATCAATGAGCCTGAAGCAGAGGTTTGGTGGAAGGAAGAGTGAGGAAAGGAAGATAAAAATAAGTGCTGGTGCCATGTTGTAAATGGTCCTAAATCTGTTGACGTTAAACCTGATGATCAGAGGGGATCAAGTGGACTGCAGCACGTTGGATAGACTGAATTAAGAAGTAAGGGGAGAGGGGTGGGCGTGGGCAGGGAGGAGAGCTGGAGGAATAAGGGTGAGGTGGGGCTAGTTAAAGGGTCCCTGCAATGACCCTGGTAGCAGGGTAAGTGTTGGAGTGATGGGAGGGGCCGAAATTACAGAAGGAAGAGAGAACATGAAGAATTCTCTAGATATAGAGAGCAGGAGTGGAGGGAAAAGCTGAACAGTTGATCTCCCATGAAGGAAAATCCTGGTCATATGTGAAATCCTAACACTGAGAGAGGAAATGACTACACAATTGGCAGATGGGGGCTGGTAGGAGCACCTGAGTTTGACTTCAGACACATGATGTAAGGAGGGGGTGAGGGTCTTGCCATTAGTCTTGTAGGGCTGAGCTGGTTCCCACTGGGGTCAAGAATGTGCTGGAACCTGAGATCCTGTGGGTCAAGGATAAACTACCCTACTGCCCAAAGATGTGCCACTACACAAGGCAGGTGTTCAAAAAAATATTTACAGAATGATTACATCGATGCAATTATTTCCAAATTTGAAATGTTTCAGTGTATTAGGTCTGAATAAACAACATTGGTTGGGACTGGAGGGTTTCCTCCTTTTATATAGTTATAGAAATAAACACCATAAGCACCAGTCATTGTAATTTCTAATACACGATTTCCAGACGGTGATGGTTATCTCGGTGTGAGGTTAACACCTTCCACTTTCACGTTCTTCCATTCGGAGGCTCAGGGGTTAGCGCCAGGCCTGGCACATGGAAGGGTCAGACCCTTGCTGCTGTGTAATCACCTCACGTGGGGAAGTTCTTCTGGAACTTTCCTTTCCACGCAAGGCAGTTTTCCACAAGGTAAGAGGGAAAAACAACTAGGAGGCCATTAAAAAATCTATTTTAAAACCTTGAGCTGCAATAGAATTTGACAATTGAACTTTACAGGAAAATGAGTCAACTTTATCTGATAAAGTTATTACCTGTAAAGGTTGTTTGGCCATGGTCCTTTATTGAAATGGCAGTAGGTAAGGTTGCAATATTAAAAATTAATTAGGTGAACTGTGTGCTCTTTGAAAGGACACAGCAGAGACAAAGCCCTGAGAGCCTGAGGTGGCGCAGGGCCTGGCTGAGCTCTTGACCTTTTCCCAAAGCTTCTACCTTCGAGGAGGGAGCTCCCCCTGCAGGGCTGACGGGCTGAGAACCAGAAGGGCTGGGGACTGGGACACTACAGGCTGGGGACACTGCGGGCTGGGGACAGTGTAGGCCAGGGTCCTTGGAGGCTGTGGGCACCTCAGGGTCCAGAGAAGTGGGTTCAGACGGACTCAGGGACTGAACCACGGGAGTCAAGACACATGTCCCATCCTGGGCGACTTTCTCCCTGTTACTAAAATTCAGGGCCTGGACAGCCATTCCCACAGCTGAGATCCCTGCTAATTCCCTTCCCACCCCAGTTCTGGGGACACATTTGCAAGGCGAGGTGCTGCAGCCACAGCCAAGGTGGAAGGAGACTGGCCTTTTCCAAGGCCACACCTGGCCCTGGGAAAGAAGGAACTGCCCAGGTGACGGGATCTTGACTGTTAACTCTGCAAGCGGCAAAACTCATGCTATCTACAAAGACTTCGGTCACCCTTTGGTATGTCTGCTCTCCTATTAGCCAGTCAGGGCCCAGTGTATCTCTTAAAAATGTTTATTTATTTTGAGAGAGAGGGAGGGAGAGAGAGAGGCAGAGGGAGAGAGAGAATCCCAAGCAGGCTCCACGCCGGCAGCGCACTCCCTGAGGCAGAGCTCTATCCCACCAAGCGGGAGATCACGACCTGAGCCGAAGTCAGGAGTCGGGCACTTAAGCGACTGAGCCACGCAGGCGCCCCAAGGCCCAGAGTATTGCAAACCAATAAAGAAAGTTCTGGTTGTACTCAGAGCTGGAGGTCTGTGTCCACGCCTGCCAGCAGACCGCCCAGAGCAGAGCATCTGCTGGGTTTTAGCAAAGTGCCATACCCCAGTGTTCCCCAAGGGGGCACAGTTTCTGGAGCAACACTAAGATTCCACAACAGGGCAGCCTGGTCTGTTCTATAGATACATTTATGTAAACCTTAGACACCACATTGCCTATTTGGTCCCATCAAAAGAAGAAGAAGAAGAAGAAGAAGAAGAAGAAGAAGAAGAAGAAGAAGAAGTTGTGTTGAATGACTATAACGTTCACAGAAATCGCATGGAGATTTTTAATTTGGCCAGTGAGATGAGTCATACCAAGGATGACAAGAAAATAGATGCTGGCTGGCCGTGACACGTGAATGTCGGTACCATTCTTAACATTGACTTGTTCATTCACGAGACAAAAGGAGATTTAGTATAAATTAACTTGGAAAAGCAAGTAGTGGTCAGTATGGGGGCCATTATACGCACACTGGGGAAACCTGATAAGAGGAAAAATTTCAGCTATGCTCGTTATTACGATATTGATAAGATAATAGAATAAAAACACTAAGCACAATGCCTGGAACATAATTAACGCAGAGTAATTGTTAATGTCTGGTTTCTAATATGCTTCAACCTCTTATCGTTGCCAGTGTGGAACTTTAAGAAAGTGTTCTAGGAGAGGAGAGGGGGCAAAGATTGTAAGAGGCAGAAGAGAAAAAGTCAATGAAGGTCAATAAGTCCTTGGAAAAAGTGAACCCCTGGTAAACTGTTACAAATTCTAAACAATGAGAGATCAGTTCCTCCTTATTGAGTAGGCAATTTTTTTTTTTGTAATTGCAACACGCGTAGTGAATTAGGGAGCATATAAGGACACAGCCAGTGCGGGGTAAACTGAATTACCTGTACGCCATTTGCCAAAACGTACCCAAATTCTCAAAAAGTATGCATCTCTCATCCTGCTGTTCAAGTACTAATCATTTACTCTAATAGCATTATTAGGAAGTTTTAAAGTTAAATAAGTCTGGACCAATTATGGGCTCTAGTCCCAAAGGAGGGATTGGTTGTAGAGGGCAGGAGACACGCATGATCTATGTAACTGAAGGGAGAGACACAGGCAAGGTTGGGGAAAGGGCAACTGCACGTGTTCACTTTGGATGGTTTCTGCTTTCTCTGTGGGCCGAGAGTGAGAGGAACAGAGGTGTCAAGGATTTGATGATATTGGAAATGTTTGGGCATAGATTCCCTGTGAAGGAGAAGAGAGAAACTGAACAGCTATGCAGAGTAGGTTATATGCAGTGGTGGTGATGGAGTTGGTGAGTAAGCATAGTGGGGGGCATCTCAGGGGTTAGGGGTTTCCTTATGGAACACCTCTTTAAAGAAAGATAACTCAGGGGCCCCTGGGTGGCTCAGGCAGTTAAGCCTTGGATGTCGGCTCAGGTCATGATCTCACAGTTCGTGGGTTCGAGCCCTGCATCAGGCTCTGTGTTGCCAGCTCGGAGCCTGGAGCCTGCTTTGGATTCTGTGTCTCCTTCTCGCTCTGTCCCTCTCCTGCTCATGCTTTCTCTCTCTCTCAAAAATAAATAAACATTAATTTTTTTTTTAAAGAAAGACAACTTGAAGCTGAATTGCTTGTTTCGCATGTGCACAAATCCTTTGTGAGATTGAAAAAAAAAATCAGAGGACTTTTATTCATTTCTACAGACAAAACAGTAGGCATCATTTTTAATGTGTGTTCATTTAATGGCGGCCCATCCTGCCAAGTCTTTCTGACCGTGCAATATGATGTTCCCACACTGGAAGTGAGGGGAAGCCTGGACCGGGCTGTAGGATTCTGTCTAATTTGTGCTTCTGGAGGAACATTATGAGGAGCAGTAGGTTAACAAGCTTGTATTTGTCTATTGGTCTCAGATCACCTGAGTTGTACAAGGACTGACTAGGAGGGTAATAGCCTGAGATGAGGAAGAAAATTCGAAACAAGTTTAAGTCATGGGCACATTTAGCTCCACAGGTCAGATCCTGGGACTAAGGAGCCTCTGAAATCGGGATCCCATATAGATCAATCCGTTTCTCAGAGTGCTCAGCAGTCCACGTGCCGAGAGAGAAAGGGGCTCCTCCAAGGCTGGAGTTTGTCAGGTGGACACCGCCAAAGGACAAGAGCCAGGGGGAAGGAAACGAATCCAGCAAGGGCTTGCAGAGAAGGGTAGAGGGACCCGAGGGCCTGAACCCTCCATGATGGTAAAGGACGAGGTGATGGGGAGTAACGGAGCATGTGGACAGTCTACCATATTATGTGCAGCCTGTCTCGTATCTGGCGTAGAACTAAGCCCTGAGAGATGCCAGGTTGACCCCGAAGTCCCACTGGAACTCAGAACTAGAGACAAAGAGACAGGTGGATACCATGTTTGTCTGTCTGACAGATTTGTTCCATTGTGAACGATCCAGTGGAATTTTCAACCGAAGAAAGATATGATGTTACTAATCTATCATTTCAAGGGCGTATACCTCTGGTTTTTATTAAGGTAGTGTGACGGATCAGCTTCCACTAACTCAGTTGCTCTGAGAAGGTGTTTCTGAGAAGGACGGCTTCCATCTGTGCTGCCTTCTGGACACATGCACCAGAATTGGCATCTCTGAGAAGTTCATTGATCCATATGCGATTCCAATTTCAGAGCCCTGTTAATACCAGGCTCTGACCCACGTGCTATGACATGACTTACTTGCTCAGAATTATTCTTGGAATTTATTTCTCTATCTCGTTTTATTACATTTCCTGTCAACCCCTATACAACTCAGATCATCTGAGGCTGATAGAAAAATACAAGCTTGTTAATCTGCTACTTGGCATAATGTTCCTACATGAGCATGAATGAGAGTGAATCCCACAGCCTGACACAGCTCAGTGTGAGCCCATCATATCGCACAAGCAGAAAGGCCTTGGCATGAGGGGTATTATGGACTGAATTGTGTCCCCCCCCAAATTCATAGGTTGAAACCCAATCCCCAACCTGACTGTATTTGGAAATAGAGCCATTAGAGGTGTCATTAAGGCTAAATAGGAACTAAGGGCCAGGCCAGTAAGGACTAATGTCATTATAAGAGGAGG